AAAAGGAAACAATGTGGTATGGTTCTAAAGTAAGTCCCAAAGAGTTCACAGTAGGGGCTGAATATGTCAACTGTCGTTCTTACACATAACGGCTCAGGTGGGGCAGGTCTGGGACTGAACCTGCTCAGCCCCAAGTGCCCTCCACCCTGTGCCCCAGTGGGCAAGCGCAGGGTGAGCAGCCCTGGCATCTGCCTGGACTCGGATCCCCTCCAGCTGGCTGATCTTGGGCAGATCACTAAACCTCTCTGTGGCTCTGTTCCTGTCAGTAAAATGGGAGGGGTGGCAACGGTAGTACCTTGCCTCTCAGGGTCACTGAGAATACTGAATGCGATAGTGCATGTCCCGTCCTTGCAAGAGGCATATAGTAGGTTCCTAAAAAACGTTTGCTATTATTTTCTCTGAACTAGAACCTGAGTCCATCTCATGAGAGCCACCGAAACCCAGACATTCTAGAAAATAAATATGTTACATCCCCAGCCTCTGTGCCCTCTACTTTCAAATAAGAAGAGATGAGAGCAGTTCCCCCTGGTAGCCCTTGGCATCCGAGCCACCCAGTTCTGGAGGCTGAGCTCCCTGCAGATGCAGAAGCCACATAATGAGGGGAAGGAAGAGGTGGAGAATTTAGATCACTCTTTGCACAATTCCTTCCCCCGGTCGCTATTCAGCTCTCTATCTCTTGGTAAGATTGTAAATGTTTCAGAAAATAGTTTATATTAAATATGTTTCTTCCTAAATCTCATAAACAGTTTCTCCTTCCCACATAAACCCAAACCACTTACGCCCACAGTGGGTCCCAATTAGCCACCCACACATTTGTGGAAGGGAAAAATATGTTCTGGTGCACACACACACACACACACACACACACACACCCTTCCCCTCACACACACAGTCATCCTTATCTTGCCCCTGTATATAAACACATGCCCAAGTGTGCATGTGCACACACATGCACACCCGTGTATGCACACGAGCATCTCCAGCCCAACCTTCCCTCCACGGCTGTCCTCAGGGGAAAGTTGCATATTCTACACAGATGGCCAGGGGCAGCAGGGCAGGACTTGCAGATTAGTGGCCCCCAAAAGAAGCCACTAATTAATTCTCCAGCGATTCCATGGCTCCTGACAGCTAAGCTATCCTGTGATTTATTCCCCAATGGCAAGACCATTTTGTTTGCAACCACTGGGCAGTACTGAGGCTGGGTCAGGGCTCTGCACCCCTCAGAGGGTGTGCTGCTCCCCACAGCTTCCTGGCGCAGTCTGTAGCCCACAGAAGCGTGAGAGGCAGCCCACAGAGCGTAGCCTCTGCATCCAGACCGCCTGCATCAAATCCTCGGCAGTGCCATTTTCTAGCTATGGGAGCTGAACCAAGTTGCTTCACCTCAGTGCCTCGGTTTTCTCGTCCATAAAAGGACTATGATAATGAAGGTAACAGTATGCACTTGGGGTAGCCGTGAGGACTACACAGGTTGTTCCTGGGAAAGGGCTTACACCAGTGGCTGGCAGGCGTGCTTGTTAAATGAAATGGAGACCCCTCTCCCGATGCCTTCTCGCCTGGAGGATCGCTGTGCAACCGGACGGGGGAATCACAGGCTTCACTTCCCCATGTTCTGAGAAGCAGCGACTGTCTCATCCATGCAAACAGATCTCTTACTGAGCAGCCAGCCAAGCCAGGCTTCTCTCCTCAGTGCCCAGCAGGGCTCTGAGCTGGGACAGTGAGCACCTTGGTGGGACCACCGCAGCCCAGGTAGTCCTCCCTGCAGCCACCAGGACCCACCTCTGGGGCACTGATGGGATGGTGGTCTGACTTCTGGTAGGCAGAGCCCCAGACGCAAATCCCAGGGTTATTTCCCAAGGGTGTCGTGGCTTCCCCAGCAGGCCTCACACAAATCCCAGGAGCTCCTGCGGTGCCATTTGCTAATATGTGAAGAGCAGGGCACATGCACCTGATCATCTAATCTGTGCAGAGAAGCTCAGAGTGGCGCCGGGACACAGGCGGTTCCAGGCGGCAGCTGACATCCACGCTGATCCTTGGGTTTCCCCTGTCCCTGACGGCGCAGCCTCCTGCCCCCCACAGCTGCCCCTGCAAGCTCTCAGGCAGCCCCCCCGCATAGGGGGCTGCAGCCTTGGGCTCCTTGCTCCAGGCAGCCTCTCAAGGGGCATGTGCAAACACAACAGAGAACATCAACAGAATGAAACAAAATAATTATTCTACCCCCTCAGGAATGACAAGGAAAAGTGGCATTAGAGGGGGACATTTAAACAACCTAAATGACCCTGCCCCCACTACCGCTCCCATGTCATATGAACCTATTTTCTTCCATGGCTGCACCATTGCCTTTTATCTGAAACCTAATTACACTAAATACGAGAGCTCCCACAATTATGAAAATTTAAAGCAGCAAAGTATGTGGGTCTTTGTGGATTTAATTTTATTTCCCCAAGTTCCTAATTCATTATTCTACAGTAATGTTTAATTTTTTAATTAATTTGCATGTTAGTACTTGAGCAAAATGGAGGGGATGAAAATACTGACTTTTATTAAGTATGAAATAAACGGGCAACACTATAGCTGCTTCTGTGGGCACCAGGGCATTTAATTCTCACCACGGTACCCTGAGGGCGGGATGATCAAATCCATCTGAGAGGTGGCGACGCTGAGGCACAGGTCAGCATCTTGCCTAAGGTCACACAGCTAGCAAATGAGAAACTTGGAACCCAGCGCAGTTCTCTCTCACTCCCTGGCTCTCCCTGTCTGTCCCTCTGCCTGCCTGCCTGCCTGCTTTTCATGATCTTTTCACTGTATCAGAACTGAAGGGATGGGATGTTAAGTTTGAGTTCAGGCCTTTGCTGGTAGACTGTCCCACTAACCGCACATGGCCGTGGGCCAGATGGTCCCTGGCCTCCTGAGCGCTCAGTTGGCACATCCCCAGTGAGAGGTCTGAGATGCTCTCCGAGGCCCCTCGGCATGCTGGCACGCCAAGGTTCGAGAGGCCATCCCCACTGCATCTAGGACCAGACCTTCTTTCTCCACCCTCATCTTAGCTCTCCCCCAAAATCTTTCCACCTTCAGCCTCCGTATTCTCCCCAGCTGACCCAGAGGGAAGACACGAAGTCTCCTTGATACTCATGAAGCCATAACCTCATAGACCTCGGAGGCCCCAAACATTTTGTGGATATGGATGTTCCTCAGACACCTGAGCTCAGAGGGAAAAGTACAAAGTGCTTCTCGGCTGTGAATAGGACCCATATGAAAGCCGAGAAGGTTTTTCACACCCAGGACCCAACTATAAACTGGAGGTCACATGTCCAGGTCCCAGCCTCGGTCACAGCTCTCACCGGGCCGGGCCACAAGACTGGCCCCAATAACTACTTATCTCTTCCAGGAGCCCATCCACGGCCCCCACTCCGTGTTCCAAAACGGTGCACACCACACAGATTGCAGCGTGTCTCTGGGACAGCCCACCTGGGGCGAGCACAGCACCTCTGTCTCCTTCCCATCTGTATTCCCAGCGCCCAGTACCAACTGTGGCTCCAAAACTACTCAATGCCCGAAGGACTGAGCAAGCCCTCAGGCCCTCTTCTCCCGGACAGGCACCCACAACCCCCTTGCTCTGTCCCTCCGCTGCTTGCAAAGGGTCCTGCCAGCGAAGTAGGTGAGCCTCACCCCTGAGCCTTGAGATGAGTTGCCTGTCTGTCCACACAGGAGGTCGGGAGAACAGGACAGACTTTCTGTTCTCAAGACCTCACGAGACTTCTGCTTTGTCCTGCCTGCCAGCCTCCACAGAGCAAAAGCTCCCTTTGGCTCCCAAGAACATGATCTACGTGCCAGCAGCTGGCAAGTGAGAGGGGCCAGCCGGTCAGCTGTTGGTACCGTGTATCCGCAGCCAGTGACTGTGCTGCGTCCATCCCTGCGTCGTGGGAGCCCCCGGACAAGCATGCCGGGGCGCTAAGGCAGACCCTGGGATGTGCGGCCGGGCTGCCCCCCTGGCTTCACGACCTGGGTCTGCAGCTTGGCAGTCCTCCTTACAAGAGCCAGGTCCCCCGCCCCAGGTCCAGCTCTCAGACCAAAGTGTCAGCAGAGACCCTTGCGGTGGAACTGGGAGCAGCAGCAGGGCAGGGGACCGAGGCTATTAGCAGATCAAAAAGGGAGCAAACAGAGGGGGGAAAGCAGGATGGCAAGCTGAAGTGCTGCGTTTTCTGTTTAAAAACCCAGTTACAGGGAAATCTGTATTTCAATAAAACGATCACGCCCTTGTTCTGAAGTATGCCAGGGACACTTACTCTACACGCAAAGCCTTTCTGATCACTTTTTTTCTCATTACAAGTTGGCTAATAGGCACCTCGTAGCAATTCCCCTTCTACTCCTCCGCTTTTCCCACCACACAAGCACTAGGTTATAACAATGCTCTTCTCTTATCTCTGTCTCAGTCACATTCACAAGCACGCTGCTTACATGCTCCCTCCACTGTGCCCCTGTGCCCGTGGCTCACCCGTGCCGACACCCACCCGTCCTCACCTGCCCGCCGCTTGGCGCCTCTGTCCGTCGCGTGCCTGCACCCCCGCTGGCACAGAGGCACCCCGCTGGGCACAGAACCACACCGCCTCCCCAGCTTCCACACTGCCCCTCTCCTCTCCAGACAGGTCCGCGCAGGGGAGCCCACGTGAGACTCTTACCGCCAAAGCCTGCGGGAAACTTCATGAAGTGGGAATAATTTCCATACATGTTTCCTGTTCAGTTCATATTCCTCTCCGGGTGTCTGCTAAGGATCCTGGCCTCTCGGGCTCCCAAGCACAGCCGGGCTGCCTTCAACGTGGGCGATCAGGAACGGTCATTGCTTCCTAGCAGCCGGGGAGCTGGGGCCGGGCCAGCCCCGGATTAGCCAGGAGCCTGCCCCAGGGTCTGCGAGCCCGGCCGGCGGAGCAGCGCTGGCAGCTGGTGCCTGTCAGTAACCACGCAGAACGCTGCGCGGCGGCTGCCGCGTGCGATCCTGTTGCTGGTTTGATTAACTCAGGGCTGGGCTGCTGCCTGTGACTCTCCCAGCTCCCTGCTCGTCCCCAGAGGTCCCTTCCGGGCACAATCTATTATCTAGGAAGCCGATCGATGTGTGACCGCCCCAGAGCAGGTCAGGAGAAAGGGGGCAGGTGGCAGGGTGTGGAAGGCTCTTTAGGTGCCTCTCCTTGACTTGCACCCACAGAAATCAATGGGGTTTATTAAAATGCATTTTCTCACTCCCGCTTCTATGTATCCAATGCACTTGGCATTTGGTCTGTGGAAGGAGGTGGGGGTGGGGGCCAAGAGAGAACAGAGCCCTTTCATATGCACAAGACTGGGAAAGTGTGAGACTGGATCCCCAGCTCCAGAGAACCAAAGCAGAGCAGCCCTGAGATCTGGGGTCGGCCCCCCGGTGGGCCCCCCTCTCCCCCCTCCCCCTCCCTCTGCCCCAGAGGCCGGAAGCAGATGTCTGTGCTCTCACAGGGGAAGTTTGACAAGTGCAGCGGGAGCCGGGGCTGGCTCACATGGGGACCGTACAGGCTGGGAGGGCATGCTGGCTCGACGCAGTGGCCATTCTCTGCTGTTTCACTGGACGCATGCGGCACCTGAGGACCACTGTCATCGTGCCACCTGTTCACGGGGGCAGCTGAGGCCTCACTGACACAGAGACTCCCTGGGGTGGGACCAGCCTGCAGATCAGAATCTAAGTGTCCCTTTGAGGCTTGAATCTCTTAAATAGCTTTCCTGACAAGGCACTGCCTAGCCTGTACTTGAACACCTCCTATAATGGGGAGCTCACTACTATCTCATTCCAATTCTGGACAGTTCTTTCCAGGACAAAGCTTTTTACTGAGGTATTTTTATCTGCCTCCCCTGTGGATTCTGCCCGTGGGGACCACCCAGGAGAAGCCTGTGGCATCTTCTGCAAATGCAGAGATAAATCTCCCAATCCCTTAGAGCTCCTTCCCCGCACACCCTCGCCTCCTTCATTCATTCCATGCATCTCCAGGTGTTCAAGCTTCAAGACCTATCCTCTTCCTGTGAATGTACTTCCCTTTACAGAGATGCCCTGATGGTGGCGAAGGGGGGCGGCCAGAATTGGATACAATGCTCCAGACACGGTCCAGATCTTCTCCTCGTGGGGTAAGTGCTGGGAGGGTAACAGCGGTCCTGCCAGCCAGCACACCCACCGGGAGTCAGCGTCACCGGCTCGGCTCTGAGGGCCTGGAACAGGGGAGAGGTCTGCCCTGACCCGCCATGGTGCCCAGAGAGCCCGGGAAGCAAGTCACCAGGGGAGAAAAATTAAGATTCAGATGCTAGGAGAACCCAGAACAAAGCCTGAGAATAAAGGACAGAGACGGGATCAAAGTCAGGGTGACAAAGGAGGAGAAGGCTGACATGGGGGCTGGAGCAAAAGCAGGTGAGGAGGGAGGAGGGAAGGCTCCTGGCACCCCGCCCGGAAGTCTGCCCACCAGCGCCATCGACGCTGCTCTGCCACTTACCAGCTGTAAGACCTGTGGAGGGTGTATGTGCAGGGAAAGCACCAACTCGGAAGCCAGCCTCCCTGCGTACAGATCCCAGCCCCACTGTTCACAGCCTCCCTGTAGTGGTGAGTTACGGAGTCTCCCGGGGCCTCGGTTCCCACATCGGTTTGCGGGGCATCCAGTGAGTCAATACTTGGAATGTGCCAGATACACAGATGTTGAGGCTCGTAAGCTACCTGGAGGACGGCACCAGGACGACCGCACACACGCAAGCCACCTTCCCCCTTGTCTCCTTTTTCTCATTTGTAAAATGGTGGAACAGGACTTCTAAAATCTCTTCAACTTTAAATTCCATGCAAATCAATCCACTACCCGTTCCACAGCTGTCCATTCTCTCCACAGGAGTATCTGCAGCAAGTGTCTCACTGAAGTACAAACTACAATTTTCTGCCATACGTCCATCCGAGAAGGAAACAAGTTATTCCAGCGCAACTGGTTTTGAGGGGGACCAGTTCTGGCAAGGGTTCTTCCAAGCACTCAAAAACCATCCTCTAAAAAGCCGTCTTTAGAGCCCTGTCCAAGGTCAATGTCAAGATGATCTGTTGGCAGTGTGTACCTTTCTTCCCATTTTACTAAGCTGGGGACACTGTCTGCTTCTTTCCCATACAGAGTAAAGATCGAATTCCTCAGTCCAGCTGAAAGGCCTCACCTTTGCATTGCTGTCTGTGGGGAAAGTGCCTGACCACAAGGCCCAGGGGCCTCACAGCACCACCACCCTCCAGCTCGTGACCTTGGGCGAGGTCTGGGGAACACGCCCACGCTGCGGGCCTCACAGAGGTTTCTGCATTTTGTTTATGTGTGGTGGGTCAAATGCAATGAGAGCTGTGCCAGTGTTTCATTGTGGTTTGGTTTTGAATGTGTGTTTGCTGCTTTTACGCTGTAAAATCCTATACAAACACAAAGAAGTACTATTTTCTTGTTTTGCCTTCTTCCCTTTCTCTGTGGTCCCTTCTGGTCCAGCTATTTTACTCACTGTGGAACACGAGATGTTCATTCCAACATCTGGTTCACTGTTTATGCCATCTACCTTCTCCCACCTGTTTCTCCACATAGATCGTTTTCCCCCACAAATGCTGGAACACACAGTAGGTACTCAATAAATATTTTTGCATTAAAATATGTTTGATGTGCTCATACCAAAAACATCCCAGTATGCTCTCCTTGTGAGGTTTAACATCCAAAACAACCCATAAACTTGGCCTAACGTACAAGAAATACGAATGTGGCTTCTCTTTTCAATCCACGTTTTTTGCTTGGCACCACCACATCATGTCTAAGACCATCACTGACATAGCAGCAGCACCCTAACCTGAGCCCCTCCCAGACAATCCCCCGGACATAGTCACTCCGGTGTCTCCAGCTGTTACTAATTCTCATTAGGATATCAAATGAAAGACCGAATGTTCAATGTCTACAGTGGGAATTGACTAATTTATTCCTAAGAATTCTGAGCTTGCTTCTTGTCAAGGCTAATTATCTATTCCGCTTAAGTGATATGTTCTGCTTTTATTAAAGCCATTAGTGCCTTTGAGTAAATGAAAGGGCATATGTTTTCATTAGTCTGTTTGACACAGACTCAGCATAATATCCTATATTCGCCCTGGTAATGAAAGGATATAGCTTTACCACTGGTCTTATTTATTTATTTATGCTTTTGACCAATGGCCATAGAAAATAATATTTTGCAGCCAACACAAATGAAAAACCAAAGCCATTTATTTGATAATGGCCAATAAACATCAGACATAAAATTTATATGCAAATATCTCTACTGTGATGATAGATTAATATTTCTATATTTGCATAGTACTTTACCTATATAATAGTAAATAAAGTTTCCCCAAAGACTAGAGGCAAATAGGGCAGACTGCATCATCCCAGTTTTATAAGTGAGGAATTTGAGACTAGGCCATGAAGTCAGGGGAGGGGAGAGAGCTGCTCTAACAAACTGGGTTTCGGAAACTGTCACACAACTAGGAAGTGACAGAAATGGGTATGAAAACCAGGACCCCAGCTCTGACTCCTAGCCACGTGTCTTTCACTAGGCCACAGTCCATCCCTTATTAATGATGTGTTTCTTTATATGTGTGCATGCATGGTGGTGGTAGTGGGGTTCCTGTGCATTGTTTTTTTCTCAGTTGTCATTTATTCATTCAATTACCATTCAGCCAACATGTATTATAGCTTTTTGTCTGTCAGTCACTGGGGATACACTAAGGAACAAAATATATAAAGTCCCTGACCTCATGGAGCTTATGCAGGCTGACAGAGGAGACAGGTACCAAACAGTCACAGACATAAATCTATCATTATAAGCCATGATAAGTGCTATGAAGGAAAAATAATTGGATGAGATGACAGACTATAGTAGGAGAATCTAATTGAAATTGAAAGGTCAGGGCTGACTTCTTTTAGGAAACGACAGTTATGCTCAGATCTAAAAGATGAGTAGGATTCAGCCTGGGAGAAAAAGGAGGAAGCAGGGGTGGGTCTAGCAGGCAGAGGGGCACTAGGTCAGAGAGCCCTGGGCGGGGACTGAGCTCAGCGCGTTCAGGAGGCCGGGGCACAGACGTGTCGGGGTCTTCCTTCAGGTGACCAGCCTTCAGGGCTCTCTGGCTCACCGCCTTACCCATGCTGCTGTGGCTGACATGCTGTGCTGACAGCGTTCTGCTGGAACCCTCTGTCTCCCCTTCACATGCTGGTCAAGTTCAGATGGCGCATCATTTTCCAGTTACTGGTGTCATCCCAGTAACTCACGGCCACGCGTGTGGTCACCCCGCCGCTCTGCTCAGAATAGTCTTTCTGCTCTGTGTCCAAGAGCTGCCCGCTCCCCAGGGCCCTTCTTCTGAGATGGCTCTCTGGTTGAACCACTCTCTCTCTTTCCTAGACTCCCATAGTCTGTGGTTGGGACCACTCCTGGGTCACTCACCTCGACTTGACGGTCTTGTATGGCTCAGCAGCTTATCATTACCACGAATGCATCTGAATTTCACTCCTATTAGACCGCAAACCCTGAATAACTGGCAGTGGGGTCTGAGTCATTTCTGTAGCTCCAACAGCCTTTACAACAGACTCTAACACATAATAGAAATCCAGTAAATACATAACTGGATTGAATGAGCATTGATTGTGCTGAGCTCTGATGTCAACCCCAGGGCAGTGGACGTGAGGAGGTGAGTATTCCTAGGTCCCAACTGTTTCTACAAACCAATTCTCATTCAGTGGGCCCTTCCTGGAGTCACAGGTTCACATGTGAATAGGCTCAGTTCTGGCATTAGCACAGTACATCAGTCTTGGTGACTATGGTGCTCTGAGGGCGGAAACAAGGTGCCTAGTTCAGGAGGAATACTGATTAACTTTAAATTAGAACTGTCTCAGCTGTCACCAAAAACTGGGCCATTTCCGTAAGGCCTGAAATGTGTCCAAAGGCACATGTTATATCTACCGGGTGTCATCCAGGACTCTGCAACCAGCCAGGTTTGTATCAGCGAATCGCTCCCGTCACTGGCAAGACCAGCTGACCTGAGGAGGTTTGCCTCAACTTGTCTGCGCATCAGAATCACCCAGGAAGCTTAAAAAACTAGCCGCTTCCAGAGATTATTTGATTGGTCTGGGGTTGTGCTCTGGGTTTGGGCTGTTAAAAGAACCCCAGTTGATTCTAAGGTGTAGATGAGTTTGGGAACTGTTGATTTAAGGAAAGAGAAACTTAAACTTCCTCTAACAAGAAGCTAAGGAGGCCCATCAGTAGGAAATGAGTAACCGCTTCCCAGGATAATTCTAAGGAACGGGGAAGATCCATGTTTGCCCATCTTCCAGACACACACCTGGGGCTTCTGAACCCAAGCAGCTCTTGCTTAGCAGGAGATGAGGTGACTGAAGCTGTCTGCTGTGTAGACTTGGCATGTACATGCTGACTGGACATCTGCTGGCGCTCTGCTCTCAGTAGGACATGCTCATACCCTGCCCCCTCTGCCGAGGAAACCTTCCTCATTAAAGGCACCACCTAAAGGCCGTTTCCTCTATCAGCCCTCCTTACAGATAGTTAGCACTTGCAACTACTCCCCAAAGCAACTAGCTTAAAAATTTGTTACAGTACTAGTTTAATTTCCATTTGTATCATAACTAGTTAAATGGAAATCCTCCTTGAGTGTAGGGACAACCTCTTACTCATCCTTACGTTATCAAGGAATCTCAGCATTTTGCTTTGTACACAGTAAGTGCTCAATAAATGCTTATTGCACGGGTGCTGAGATTACAGCTCTGAATAGGACAGGCCTTTTTCCCTGCTCGCATGGAGCTAAGCTACCAGTTTAAGGGTACCTTGTAACTACCCTTCATGCCAAACGAAACAACGTTGTCATAAAATTTTCCAGGTAGAACAGTTACAGAGATGCCTACCATGTCTTCTTTCCCAGCCAAGTGCTGACCATAAAACACTCCCCGTCATAAACAACTCAACCACAGCTGCAAGGCCCAAGGGAGCTCTCAGGATACAGAACAACTGTGATATCACCAAGAGAAGAGGAGGGTTGAAGCCAGAGGGAAACATCTGGTCCCTTCCAGAGAGAGGCCAGCAGTGCAAATACGGGACACTGTAATCCAGACTGGGTCCAGATCCAAGGAGTCCCAGCCAAAGAGGTGGGTGTCAGCCTGAGACGTCAGGACGGCCTGTCCAAGCCCCTGAGAGGGAGGAGGAAACACCAGGCTCCTAGGCCAGGCCACTGTCCCTTGGATTCTATTGAACAGACATGTTTTGGGCTGGCTACTGGCTACACGGACTCATATAGATTTGGAGGCTGCAGCCCAATCGCACACAGGCCAAGCCATCTATTTTCAGACCCCTCTCCCTCTCAGAGAAGAGACTCTAAATATACCCTCCAGTGACTGCAGGAGGCAGATTATGGTTGCTGGCAGCTGAGCTGGGTGGGGCAGACAGGGCCATGGGGAACCACACCATTCACCTCAGTGCAGCCCGAAGGCCCCACCACTTGTAGAGCTGTATTTACATAAGGGCAAGTGTCTGTTATATTTGACTGGGTTTTCAAGAAGAGCTGGGCATGGGCTTTGTAGGGCAGTAAAAGCCACTGTTTTGTCCCCTCCAAAGATGCACTGAGTGAGGCGCGTCGATGCCATGGAGGAGGGCTCAGGCAGAACTGACCTTGTTCTGTTCTCAGGCACTTGTGTCATAGGGAAGTCTTGCCATTATCTAAGCAACTGTAATGACATTTCCCATGTGTGTAACACCTGACAGTCTTCAGCGTGCTTTTGTAGCTTATTTATAAACAGACGTGAAATCTTGTAAAAGCAAAAATCCAAAAGGGCTGCAGGCTGCAGGGACGCTGGGCGTTAGGAAATGAGGATTTACCTTGCTGGAATGATTTTCTCTGTAACGGGGAAGGCCTATTGAGTTAGTGTTCAGCTGAGACGTAGGTCTCTTACTGCCAAAAGCCAAACACTGCATGATCACCTCTATTTCCAGGCAGCTAATCCCAAAAGGCCAAAAGCATTTAGTTTCCAAAGGAATCCAGTTGAAAGCTGAATTAACCGTCAGCATTTAGGCAGCTCTACGCAACAGCAAAAAAGGACTAGAAATAGCTTCAAGTGGAGAAATAGTAATCAAGGGCACGGACAAGGCAGGGGTGTGGCACAAGGAAGGTCTTTAACTCAGAATGTTTCGCAGTATCAGACAGAGTTGGAGAGGACTGTATTAGCGTGCTCCAGCCAGAGAAGAGACGCCAGAGCCCGTTTAGCTGGGATCAGTCACTGGGCAGCGAAGAGAGTTAGGAAAGGACCGGGCTCTGAAACATCCCCCGCAGCAGGCTCGCTCACGGGGTCCAGGCCCCATCTGCACCCCACTCATCTGGAAGGCTTGTTAACATGAGATTCCTAGGCCCCACCTGGACCCTGAGGCAGCATCCCAGGGACTGGAGAGGGCCTGGACATGTGTCTCCTTAACAAGCCCCATGCATGATTCCTATGAGCTGTGAAATTTGAGAGTCAAGCCTCACAGAACAGTATCGAAGGCGGCCAGATCGTCACTGGTAAGCATGCCGCGTTACAGTGTCGAGATGACCTGCTG